GCCGTTCGCGGCGGCGCGCCGAGGGGCGGCGGCAGGGGACGCGGCGGCTTCAGCAGGGGAGGAGGATACTAAGGCCTTTGATGACTGACGGGCGGCGACTGCTCTTTTTTTCCGAGGGCCACGACGTCTGTGGGAGGGGGGAGGGGGGAGGGACAAGGAACCTCCCCGTCTTCCTGTTGGCTGCTACAGCGGCGTGACACCTCCCCGGCCCGCGAAGGAGACGGAGCGAGGTTCCTTCTCTCTCCCGTGTGTGTTGTGTTCTGGAGTAGGAAAACTATTGGCGTTTTCGGGTTGTTTTTCTTGTTCTTTCCAATGTCAGATATCAAAGGGGGCCGGGTCCGAAAGGGGGGGGGCTGTGTATGCACCAGGACTATCGAACTCGATTTCACCTTGCCTTGTCGGTACGCTCCTCTCTGCCTTGATGCACGCCTCTCCTCCGTATGTGAGTGAGTGCCTGGCCTTCCCACAAGGACCAGGCCAATGACAGCCGAAGGGGGAGGCGGGCGATGGAAGAGTCTGGTGGGCCTGGCCTTCTTCTGACGCAAACGGCACAGCTTCAGCACCCAGATGTACAAATGACGTTGTTTCACGACCGGCACTTCGCTGCACATAGAGCAGACATGTTGGAGCATAGCATGAACGAAAGACTGAAGAAGACTAAACAAAAAAAACTGAAGCTGCAAAAAGCCAAAACACCATCCGCCAGCGCAGGCACCGCAGTGACATCCGCGCATCTCGTGACCAGAACCAACGAACAAGTTGCCCCTGCCCTGCGATCCTGAGCACCATGGTCATATCCTTCTCCCATCTCAAGTTCCTGGCCCTTGCCGTTTCCATTTCCGCCGTGTCCGTCCCAGTCGCCCCATTCTTTATTTGCACCCACCAAGAGAAAAAGACAGCCAAGGAGAGAAAGAGAAGCGTGTGTCAGCATACATTCCCATTAACGCAAAGAAAACCATGCGCATGTTCTAGCTGTGTGCGCGCTAACTTGCAAACGGACAACAAGACTAGGCGAGGCGCTTGTCGAACGACTCGGTGGTAGGGGTCGCCTTGGGATATTCGCCTGGGACGTGAAGGTTGGAAATGGTGGGCACGCTGTCGGTCCGCATGTTGGTCGACGTGGGTCGCACGGGCTGGGGCTGAGCGAGGGTGTAGTTGGCGTTGGCCTGCGTCGGGCTCGTCAGAGACCCGTCGGTGGCATTGTTCTCGGGTTGCTGCTGGAACTGTCCGTTCCAGTCGTTTCGGTGGCCGGCAGCCACAAAGACGGGCTTGACGCTCACGTCGCGAGCGTCATGGACATTGGCCGCCTGGTACGCAGGCTGGTGAGCAGCCTGCGAGGGCACAGGCTGGACGCCATCAATACGCTGGCCGTCGCTGTGTCCGTTCATCCACTGGCCGTACTGGCCGTTGCCGCCAGGGGTCTCCAGCGAGCGATCTTGAGATTCTGAAGTGTGGTGTTGCACGTCGCCGCCTACGACGAGGGGTGCGATGACGCCGGGGTTTTGATTCGTCTGGCTCGACTGCGTCTGGGAGGGCTGAGACCGCTGGGAGCGCTGGCTCGACGAACGCTGAACGCCAGCGACGGGGACGATGTAGTTTTGCGTCTGAGACTGGTTGAAGTACTGGTTGTTGTCATAGTCGGGCACCATCTGCGAGTCTCGGGCCGGTTCGTTGGTATAAGGGTTGATACCATCCTCGCGGGCCTGTTGGCTAACGATCGTGGCATGCGAGGGCGCGTCGTCCATGAGAGCACGATCAGTGTTTCCGTACCCCTGGTGAGACTCCCGCGAGTCGTTCTTGTCGCCGAGACCGCCAACACCCACAGGCAGCACGCCGGGCCGCGGAAATCTGTTCTTGACCCGGACCTTGGTTCTCAAATCCTGAACTCATACTAGACGGTGAGAGAGGAGCCTGTAAGCCTCGCTGCGCATTGACTTGTATATCGGATGGAAACCGCCCACCTGGTTGAGGACGGCGGATGTCTGACTTCGAGCCCGTTTCCGCCGCGACTACTGTGTCGGCCGAGAACGGCTCGTCATCTTCCTCGTCGACGACGCCGTCGCTGCTGACCGATCGTCGCGAGGACTGGCTGAGGCTGCGGGTGTGGCGAACAAAGTCGCTTCGCTCTTGCGGCGTCTTTTCGGTGAGCGCCTTGACATCTTCGTACCATGCCATCATGGTGTCGTGGGTTTCGGCGCGGAAGACCCAGGTATGGCCGCGGTGCATCGAGCCGGCCTGGCGACCCTTGAGGATGAACTTGTTGGACGAGCCTCCTTCGCTGGAGTGGGAACCTAGTTTCTGCTCTGGGAGGTACAATGACATGACGGGCGCTTGCGCCTTATCCGCCGATTTGAACTCGTGGAGATGAGTCGGAGAAAGTACATACCTGGTGAAACTTAGTGGGCGGAGCCGGGAGAATGACACGCGGGAATGGCACTCACCAGCCAGCTGTATAGCTCTTCAAGTACTTGCTCTTGCGCTCCAAAAGGCCTGCGCGGATCTCCTGGCAGGTGAGGTGATCTTGGCCAGGGTAGTGGATCTGGTCGGCAGACCGCACCGGAATCTCAGGGTCGACAAAGTGGTCGTCCTTCTGGACAAAGTGAGTCCACTCGGTGTCCTTGGGCATGGCAATGGGGCCAATGCGGAGCTCGTCAATGGCGTTGTACGCAGCGTCAGACTCGCGCTTGAGAATGCCAGCATAGGCGTTGTAGGCCTTTTGGATCTCGCCGACGACGATGGACTCGAGCTCCCGGCCGGATGCCTCCAGGTTCAGGTACGCCTGGTGCAGGTAGTTCTCCTCATCGATCTGGCGCTCCACCTGCCTGTCGACAGCGAGACGCAGGAGGTAGGGATCCTGCTTGCCGGTCGCGGAGGCAGGGTCCGCGTCGCTCTGGCCAATGGTCTCTTGCAGAGACTTGACCAGTTTGCGCGTGGCGTCCATCTCTTTCTCAACTGAGTTCTTGAAGTCGCCCGACAAGCTCTTGATCTCCTTGATCTTTTGGTGCAAGTCACTGCGGAGTCCTGTCAGGGCCAGGATGACGTCCTCTTCGATCTCTTTGGCCTTGTTCGCCTCGACGATGGAGTTCTTGTGGTAGACGCGCAGGATTTCCATGGCATCCACGAGACCGCCTGAGGCTAGGAAGCCGGGAGGGGTAGAGATGTTGTTGGCGACATTGGCGAGCTTGACAAGGGACTTGGCCTTGGTCTCATAGTGGCTTTGGATCTCGCGATAATAGGCAATCAGGTCC